TCCATTCAAATATATTCTAGCCTGCTATAATTTATTAGACAAGCTGCTGTCGCGAGTTATGGAGTTTCGCACCAAATCCAATCACTAAATCAACTGAACACAGAATTTATTTACAACGTGAATTTGTTATTCTTTCTTTCTCTTTTATTGTATGATAAATAATGTTAGGCGCCATCGTGTCAGACATTTCAAAAGCTCTCTCTATTTATTCTTCTATTCATCGAATATATGCATTGAATTACTCAAGATTTTGCCATGTTTTGGATAAATGTAATTCTTTCCTTGAAGATTGCGCCTCCGTCGTCTCGCGTCTCCTACGTGACCACAATATCTAAGCCACGCTTGTCTCCAACCACTCTTTTATGTCTATCATTTATTCTTCCGATACGCAAACGTCAGCGTTTGACAAGTACAGTTCATGTCGAATAAATTGTCGGTAAAATTGTACGTGGAGTGAGTTACGACTGTGGACGGGCCCTTCGACTCCGCTGTTTTGCTCAGGCTCGACAGATTTATCGTCCGCTTTGTTTTTAGAAATTTTCGCCTCCGTAAACGCTTTCCCTCCATATCGGAAACGTCTATTTCGATCTGCATTTATTTACTTTGCGGAAAAGCTGTCATTAAGACCGCCCTGACAATTTTCTGTTCTCGACAAAGTCTTCAACGCTTAGAAACGTAAATAATACACCCCATATTGAAGATTATTTCTAATGCTCAAACTCGAGACGCAATAAACTAGCGCGATGATAATAAAAATGTTCAGCTTATCCCTCGTGTTCCCGTTGTAAATTTAAACGGCGATGCGCAAGCGATTCTAAACCTTAGCGCATTTTATTAATGTCACGATAGAACATTTTAATTTTAATAAAGCTGAACATCGGCACGCCCGACCTATTTGTCAACCTTCTTTACTTTTGCTGGCATGAAATCATACAGTCTCACTTTGCGTAACTACAACACTAAACGTGGAGAGTTCGGGAGTCGACAGAAAGCGTACTTTTTGATTAGAACGCTAAGACATAAATTCGCACGATAATCCACGTCCGCTCTCGTATGAAATATGAAATCCCCGAAGGACGCCGCGCTGGATTTAAGCTTTTCTCTTTAAAGTAATAAAGGTGTGTTTTATTTGAACTGCGACGGATTATATTTGGGATTTGGATGACGAAACACGTAGGCGAACCATCGCTCATGTGACAAATTTCTACGTTTGCCTTAACGCGGGCCACCGTGTTTAGAATATTATATCTGAGGAAGGGACTTTGGGAAGTCATATTGATTTACATAAAGAAAAAAGGGATGTACAATTGTGGACAAATGAAATGAATCTTGAGTGACGTGGAAATGTACTGCGTGTGAATTGAAGTGATATATTTTACGTGTAGAGGAGTTCTATTTTAAGAAACTTTCTTACGTCTCTTTTCGTCCACGTGTTTCTACCTGCTTCTGAAGTCTTTCCGGCATTAATAAATTAAATAACTTGTATTGTCAGTTGAGAGCATTTTCCTTTATACCCAGGACATGGTGGTTAGCAGGCGTGGACTATTTTATAATTTTATTTTCCAATAAATCGTACGCAGTCCAAAAAAGTCTCAAGGGGTGTGTAATAACGATTGTCTATATGCTTTTTTTGCACCAATTGTACCAGTGTCCCCCCAGGGAGGAGATTTGTCAGTTCGTTTATGCGACTTTGTCGAATTCAAATCGTAGTTTTCTTTTCTGCTAGTAACGAACTAGCAACAATACGTGCGGAAAAAGGATTTTGCGTTATATTCAATGTTTTTTTGGATGTATTTTGGGGGCAGCAACCGTGGTTCGGCGAGGTAAGCAACCCACCAATTGTATATTTATGAGTTCACTATTACGCTCTATAGAATTTTTATTTGTAATATCTACCAATTTTGAATTGAATCTACTGGGGATTAGTTCGAACAAAGTTGGTAATTGCTAGTTTATGAATCATTGTTACGTTTGAAATACGTTGTGTTGCAACACAATATTTTATTCTGTAAAAATATTTTATATATTCCCACTGCATAGTACGATGTGTTGGCAATTTGCCACTAATTGTGTAATATTTAAAGCCTGACATGGTTTAATATTGCTGCGTTGCTCTGAAATGATGTCAATAACCATATACATCTATCAACAGCGGCTCTATTTGATATAAAATAACCATTACATGTCACTGGGACTTAAGAAAATCTATTTTTATATAAGTCTCCTCACTACGCGTTTCATCAACGGTAGCATTTATTTCATGAGTACCGCTACTGTCACTATTTTTGGTATCAGCGTGAGTCAACATACATAGATTACTATATTAACAAAGCTGTTTTACATTTTAAACAATGTTCGTTTCCATTAAAATTGACCGGTCAACGGTTATCACCGCGGACGTCCTGCGCCGACCTCTTATCACCAACATTATCACCAAAAGAGGAAACAGACAATATTTTTATTTATGTTAGTCCCCACTGCCCACTCGTGATGCTACTGAAGTCTAGAATATCCACGATATTGCCGCGCGAATTAGTTTCGCATCATTTTATCTGAAGGACGAACGTGATTTATATAGTGATTGTGCAAAAATAATGGATTTTCACATCGAGTGCCAGTGATAGTCTCTTCTAGTAATTTATGTGCAGTTCCATAAAATATAAACATTTCCAAGCAAAAATATCGCAGTGCCGTTACACTAGCATTTTGTGTGACACAATAAACATAGAGCTTCATACTGTACTAATTTTAATAACGGTGATTAACCTCAACAATAGGCCAGATAAATTTATTGAATAACTAAACGTTAAACCAACATAAATTAATTAAGTACAAAGGTATGTACAAAGGTGGATTCATTATAATTTGATATTTATAGCGAAATTTAGCTCAATCGAATTCAATAAACCGAGTAGCATGCATTTCCATTGTAAAGAATTTATTTACTCACAACGCGAGTGTTTCGCGCGGGGTTTGATGCATAGGTGAATACTTGATTGGTTTTAGTATTGAATGCTACGGACGTAGGAATAAATTCAGTTTGAACAAGAACACATTTTTGTCTATGTGATCATGATTTGGAATAAAATCATAAAATGTAAATTCCTTGAGCACAAACAATTCATTAAAAGAACCTACTTAATATTTCACAAACATGTCCAAAAAACAAAAATGCATAGTCATTACTATGCGACTCGTTTTCAATTAGCATTCCTTATCTAGTTCCACCACCACAACGCGAAGGGGGGGAGGACTTGGCAAAAATTCCACCTAACGAGCTCATTGTCTTTTATTTGGACCAAAGGGTTCCGTCGCAAGCCTTAATTAACGGCTTCAAGAATCCAAAATGATTTGACTAGATGCTTTCTATTGCAACACTTTTTGAATATTAAACAACGTAACAATTTTGTACTTAGTGACAACTTTACAAAATGTGTTTTAATTTACATTAATTTATGTTTTACTTTTGAATGGTGGCAACGTGTTTCGAAGTGATGAAATCGCTTGAATCACGCACAGCTACACCACATGGCATGGAATAACGAACATAATTAGTAATAATGGCCCCTAAGATTGCTCAACAGCGTTAACGAATAGTGTTACCCATGGTGACCCAATTAATGTATTCATCGGTTGTTGATAAAACATTTTGATAATAACTGTTGGAGTAATATTGCCAGCTTTACTTGCAATATACCTACTAATGTAATTTAAAGTAAATCGTGTCTCTTTACTTAGAACGGTGGAAAGTTACCCATATCCATGGATTTCTTTTTATGTTGTTATTCTTTACGCCATAATACCAAAGCATTCCCCTAACAAGAGCCCAATAAATCGACTTGATATTTTTAACAAGTCAACAGTTCTTATACAGTCCAGCAATGCTTGATACAACTAGATTCAGTAACCCAAGTCCAGTAATGAGGCAGAGTCGAAACTAATTTTATTTTCTTCCATTCCTTTGAGTGGGACTCCCGGGATATTTGCGTTAAATTAAAAAGTTTCCTCTCTGCATCTCAAGAGTACTTCCTCCACGGCCCATTTATTTCTTTTCGATACTTTCTCTCTAATGATCTCATACGATTACTGTACGACTTGCCTTAACATATTATAAAGAACATTAATAAGCTTCGCATATAACCGAGCTGGTCTCTCCGCTTTGAAATTCACAACATGTATTTTTTCTTAATTCGATATAGTTTAGTTAAACAATCTAGCCGGTACAATTTAATTGTTTAAATAAATTCGTCTGTTATTTAAGCGAGGTTGGTTGCTTGATTCTTTTACGTTTACGCGTGTTTTTTATTTCACTTTTTTAACAATATTTTTAGAACCTACAGAAAGACTTTGGCATTCTACAGACTGGCTCTAAATAATGGACATTTATTTATAGTAGCAATAATGCTATCCTAAATAGTGGAACATCTAATACTTTCATCCCGCCAAAGATTTCTTATTTTTGTTCCCTACATTAAAATCATTCCGCGGAGGATTCTTATTGTACTCTTTGTCATGTTCGGAAGCCATATTATTCCTAATTATTTTTGTCCTTTCCTTCCGACTTCGTTATGCGGCTTCTTTTCCTTTTTATTTATTGTCGATACTATCTCCTTTATTTATGCGTACTGCAGGGTACGTATAAACGTCTACTTCAAATATATTCTCTGGATATTTTAAGTTTTTCTCTCTTATACCTACATATGTTATTGATATTCTTTTGTTTGAGTTCTGCTTTGTGAGGCTTTTACATAATTCATTATGGTTTGTTCTGAGTCCTACCTTCACTGATATTACCTGTCATCTAGACAAATAAGTATTCCTATTGGTTTTACAGACCGATATTGTTTGAACGATATATTGAAAATAAAAAGGTTTCATCGAACAGTATGTCTTGATAATATACACAATTATTTGGTTTATAAATCGAGTCAGATTTCGCAATATTTTTTTAAAGTCAGATAATATTTTTTACTTCTTTACACATTTTTTTTCATTTTTAGGCCTGGGCCGGCTGCACCCGTACGGCTCGGGCAGCGGCAGCGGTTCCAGCAGCGGAAGCGGGCGGCGGCGCGCGCGCAGCGGCCTTTCCGACTCGCCGACCGCTCCCGCTACGCCCACGTCGGCATCCGACAACGCGTCCGACGCAACCCTCACGGACTCGGAGTTGCCGCTTGCTAGGGATTCCACCCTGCTGCATAACGGTGTGTTATTTTTTTTATCAAATCACTCCATACTTACTGGTGTTGGCTGTGTTGATGAATTTAAAGATTTTATGGAGTTTCTCGCTCGTTCTTCTCCATTCGAATCTACAATTTGGAATGAGCACCTAGCTTCATTGACAAACAGACTGACAGACTACTTTCTATTTTGACGTTTCAAAAGTACCTATTTATGGTTTAGTTGGAATAAATGATTTTGACTTTGACTTTGAAAGTTTTGTTCAGTCGCGCGTCATTGCAATCATATATTTTCTGTGTAGTAACTAATAATTCGTTATGGCAATCAAACATTTTGCTTCATCTTACAAACGGATTAGTTCAGATTCATCGTCAATTTAGAAGGTTGACCTAATTCTTATATTGCCAATAAGAGCGGTCCTATATACCTTTTGAGTACATGATTTTGTCCTTAAATACCTACTACTTACCTAAAATAACGACGCCTTACCTACTTCACCCAAAGTATTACTTACATCTTTTGTAGCTTCTTTTCGTATTTGCAAGAGGCGAAGAAATCTCTAAATATTCAAAATTATTATCATCTTTGTCTTCAACAGTATCGTAAATAGCTTTCTTAATAACTCATTATGGAGAATCTAATATAGCTTGATAGAGTTTTTGCTCGTGTGGGGCATCTCCACGTGTCGGAGTAATCTAATGCTCGAGTAACAGTTTAAGTTACATTTAATGTGTCGAAAGTAATTAGCGTTTGTTCTTCTGTGGAGAAAAGTTGTTATTTTATCTTTCGCCCCTTACTGCATCTGCGTACTTGTTACTTTTTTCTTTCATGGCATATGAGAAGAATATTTGATATCGTTTTTGGAACAAATTGAGAATATAAATTGCATTTTACACTTTGAATGTTAATTAATAATGAAAACTAAATAATTATTAGAAGAATATTAGATAAGAAATACTAAATTAATCAATTTACTCTTCTCCGTACATAAAAGCATACATACATTACAAAGACAAGGATTGATGAACAGCAAGCAAAAGCATCGGATAATCAATGTAATGCCAGAAATTCCAACAGATTTCAATCTACCAACATTATTTATTAGAATTTAAACGGTAAAGCCGAAGGGCCACCGCTTCCCATGTTAAAGGCTGCGAGGATCCCGCGGTAAAAGTGTTTGCTAGAATGCAAAATGAAGCATGTGATTGCTACGGAATCGCATTATGCCAGTCCCGGATATCGACCCGTGTCACTGGAATGGATATATTTATTTTCCTGGGCTCCAAGGTGGACTAGGTATAAGGATCAGGACATTCTTTTCAAACTTTGTACCAACTGCCTATTCACTGGGCTTTAAAATTATCATAGAATTTTTAAACCCTGAATTTTGTTGGTCTTCACACACATGCAAAATTTCCGTTATATTTAATTAAAATATTTTAAGCGAAATTTTGTTCATTTTTGATGTAAGACTTTTAATTTTTTCCCCGTTAATATCGCTTCCAGCGGTCCCCTAAATTCATTTAGCAAAGCACTGTGTCACAGAGGCCTCTCGCGACGGTTTCCTAATGGATTTTTATCGTGTCGTGCTCCATGAAAATTGAACAGGAAATCCTAGGGAGTTCCGGTTTTAATTTGCCAACCATTGGATTCTATAATCGTTCTAGATTTCATTGAAATGCAATTTAATTGGAATTCCCTCGGTGTGATTTGAATCGACTGCGTTTGTGGGTCGACGTTATTTGGTATTTTATTCAGAGCCACGTAAGTTCTACGGATTATCTATTTAATTTGTTTTCAATTTTCTATACTATAGTATACCTACCTTAATAACCCCTTCTACTTGTTTTGTTAAATATTGACCACACTCAGTATACAACAAAATAAAACACAAAAAACAACCTTTCAATTTAACTATAATCATTTGCATACTTAATTAACCCTCGGCTCATATTTACAGAATACTCGAACTCTGTCCCAACAATTTCTGGCTTACCTACCCTAACAAACTCTAACACAAATCGTCCAAACAGTTCAACATTTACATTTTCCCTCTTCCACGTTTAATGTTTACGTGTTGCTTCCAATAGCATTAGTTATAACTCGTAAATACAAATTACTAACGAACGTTTCCGATACCCGCCGCGTGTTTTCAATGTTTCACTTTGTCCCTCAAAACTTTCCAGTTGAAAATTTTGCCCAAATATTTGTTTACATTATAGTTTTTGGGGTCCCAATTTAATTTAAACTATCGCAGCTTTTATTTGTCGTTTAGTACAACATTTGTCGTTTCGCGGTTTGTGCGTGGACCTTTGTTTGTGGCGTTGAATTTATTCTGCTTGTGTTTTGCTTTCACCAAATTCCGGGATAATTTGTCCGTACGTAATGAATGTAACGTTTCATCTTTAATTTGGGTCGTCCTGTGTCACTCGAGTTCATTTCCACTCGTTAATTAAACTAAGTGATACGATCCTATTTAACGTTTTTCTGTCTTAGGCGGATGTACATTAACATAAGTAATACGGCATAGTTTTAGTATATTGGATCCGCCTGAATAACCATCGGTGAGCTCACAGCCTCTACGAATTCACATTAACTAAATATTTGTTTCTTGTATATTAATGTCTGACATTATGTTTGTTATTTTCATCTTCAGTTTGATAACTAAGACCAACCATAGCAGCAATTAAGGGATTGATCCTACACTCAAAAATGATGACGTATCACAAATCGTTTGGATTGCTGTCATAAACAGGCGACAAGTCGTAAATGTGATCACGCCCAGCGAATGTGTTAAACAATTTGATACGGGGTAACAATGACGTTTTTATGTCGCGATATTTCGGTAAACCTACCGAATGTCGCCTTTAATTGCCGCCATTAAGCGCATGCTTGTGACGAATCGCCGAGCGATAGATAGATCCCGGTTATTTTTTGAATCACAAAGCAGTATTTATCTCCCTTACACTCTGTTCCAACTACTGCACTAGAAAGAGACGCATATGCATAGTGTTTCAGTAACCGTGGGATAATCATAATGAAAGCCGGAAATTCGTTAACGAATATGGCAGCGCTTCGTTAAATTTTATGTGTGTTTGTTTAATGAATGAATGCCTTTTTAAATTTCCATATGGTGCCGTCCTGTTTTAATGATCGCGCCGAGTCGGACTTAACAAAACAAATGTGGAATGAGTGTTACGAAGGATCATTAATCTATTAGTAAACGTATAAGAATAGATAGAAAGAGTATGATAATATTAGCTGCAGCCTGACATCGCTTCTCGCGCTTTTCACTATTTTACACCCCGAAATTGTGGAATTAATGTTTCCGTATTCATCCATCAAGGGGATACTGTGAAATTTCGTTCGCTCAAGACATCCCCTTAATCCTCAAGACGAATATCTCAAACTCACGGACGAAGCGGAATAATCGCGAGGTTGTGACGAGCTGAAAAAAATATATAATTCGTCACTTAATCCAAGCATCTCGAGGGGTTAGTCAAACAAATACCTAGTATTAGTTGTGACAAACGCAGGCTTCAGTTTTATGCGATCAAAAATATAAGACAGATCCTAATGTGTTCCCCCTTGAAGTTGAATAATGACACACTCATGGAGTAGATTTTCAGCCTGAAAAACATAAAAGAAAATGAGGCAACATATGTATGTATTTGCCAGATATTTTAGCAGAACATTAAAATGTGATGGTGGTTTAATTTTGTTTAAGATTTCATTGTCAGTCAAGTCCGATTTCCGATATTTGTGCTTTAAAAAAATAAACGATTAAAAGTGTATCACAAAGGACTTTCATGCCAAAGGGACGAAAGTGGAGTGGATTTTCACAGTACATTGAGCGTAAAAATTCTCCCAAAAACGGTAGACGAAAGAAGAAATACTGTAATGCGTAATGAACTGAAATCTTTTACTACGTTCGTGTGACCCGTGTACAAGTTTCGAGCGAGAAGCGTCGTCATACATATAAAAGTGGTCCTAAGTTAGGTCCTTGGGGCATTCCTACTCATGAAAGGCAGAAAGAAAATCAATTTATTATGTTACGCTTATACGTTGTCATATCGTCATCTTACAAATAAATCCGCTTGTAATTTGTACCAAAAGCTTTATGCGACAAACCATGACACAAAGCTACAACCTTCTTAGTTTGGTCGAAAGCACAAAGAAGTTCAGTACCGAGTCGCCAGACCCGAAAAAGTACGAGTCCTTTGAGAGACCAATCCTTTAATACTAATTGAATCATAATTTAGGAGACTGGAAGTTTCTTTTTATGTAAATCTTTTTTGCCTCTGAAGGCTCAAAGGCTGGCAACGTAATAATCTTGAGTTTGAAAGGTTTAGAAAGCACTCGTGTATTTGGGATTGAAATAAACGTCTTTTATGTTATTCTAAATATTGGTTATAGATTTATTGTTTTATTATTTTGTAATTGCATCAGCTTTACATTTGTATTACAATATGTTACCATCTGTAACAATATTAAGTAGGCCAAAAGACATGCTTGCATTAACATTATTATCACTATTTGGTTAAACCTTTTATGTCACCTCATTAGTTTTTATTATGGTATCAATCAATAAGTGTAGTTATTTTTACAGCGTGTAATTTTGATAAAACACCATATAATTGTGGAAATGTCATTTTTAGATTTTAAAATATTTTATATAGCAACCTTGTGTAAGACATCCTTGTATAATCTAATGTAGAAAATGTTTTTGGGTCGAGAGGTACGTTACATGCAATAGAAAAATGCTATTAAACTACTATGATTAAGCAAACGAAAATATAAACGTTTGCCAACAAATAATCGCAACGCACTAGTAAGCACTAAAGAAAAGATTGCCAACATTTTTGAAATTTAAAACTATTACAGGGAACAAAAGCAACTTTTCCCTCAACCTTACGTTCTAACTCCATAACCCATCCAATGTCAGGGTAATATCAAAAGACAATTTACCGTAGCACAAGCGACAACGACGTCGGAGAGTCGATAAATCTCGAGGACAATTTCC